ATGGCTAATTGTTTCATGGGTTAATAATACTGGGTTCTGATATTTCATGTTCACCCCAATTGCAACGGTAACTGAGTATCACCACTTCAGTCATTGGTGACAATGTGCCTTACCCCTCTGGCATTGGTCCATAGAGTGCAGACACAGCTTTACTCCTAACGTGATGTCAGTCGATCTCACGGTTTTATACTATAAACCTTTATTGTCTACTAAGAAATGGAAGAAGCTTTGAGGTATAAAATTAAACAGCCTAAGAGTCTGGTCTAGATAGCAGAAACCGGATTATTGATTTGATTTCTTATGTTTCAAGTGGTTAACTTTTCTGACATCATATCGTTATTGTGTTGGTTGTCGTACAAAGCAGTTGGCATCTGCAAGCCAGGAAGTTGACAGGTTCAGGGCGTATAGAGTTACCAGGTTAGATTTGGTGAAGATTACCATGAGATACAATACTCTTCCATGAACAAATGTCAAATCTGAGAGATAGGAAACATCTATTGGTTTTGAAAGCCGCTCGTGAAAGTTCTAACTTCCCACTGCAATTCGTGAGCTAGACTGAGCTATGTTACTGAGTATCTAGCTTTCTGATAATGACGCTCGTGTTCTTTAGAGCAACAGAGCTTAGGTCCGACCCAGAACAATGAGTGTCTATCCGGAACCGATATGGACGAGTGAAGTCGGGTTGCGTGTCATGAATTCAAGTCTTTACACTAGCACAAAGTGTCTTCTCTCCACACTCACATGCCTGTATACTCGGCAGATTGATCAATGGCAATGCAAGATCCTGGTAAAGGAACTGAGAAAAAGGCCCGTGTGGCAAGTTGCTATGACCTTCTAGTTTAAGGATCGGTACCAGTAGACATCTTGAGAACAGCAATATGGTTGCTACAGGGGTGCGCAAAGCTTGTACTCATGGATTGTTACGTTTGCTAGCTTCACCAACAGCTCATTGTTAAGCCTATTTAGCTCTAGAAAGATTTCAATATGGCTTAGAATTACGGCCCCTTTTGGTATAGGATGTTATATGTGAAGACTCTCGCATCTCATGGGTTCTATGTCACGTAGTAACGGAAACCTCTCAATAACAGGGATAGTCTGAAGCTCAAAGGCCAAGCGGCGTGGCTCTAGCAGAAGTCACAGAACATAGGGTTTGATGTTCCATCGTTCATCTTGCGGTGAGCCCTTCCGATGCAACTGACTACCCTGCCCTGGGCTCTCTAACCTTTTCTACTCGCTCGAATAGGCGACATGCAGAGGATCTGTGCTACCCAAACATGGGGCCATCGAAATCAACAGTCCCGCTATAGATGGACAGCTGCATCTCATGTTAGCGGGCCGGAGTATTGTTGATATGAAGGAAAAAATGTCACTGGATGGTGAACGAATACAGAATGTCTCAGAAGGTATAAAAGTGTGCAGAAGAGGTAGAGACAAGTGAAGTGGGGGTTAACAAAGTCACTTTTCAGCCACGCTTGAAAGAGGGCAATTTAGCACAATTATTCAATATAGATTTGAGCGCTTTGCGGGTGTAAGAATTTCAATAAGAGTATTGTAGATATTGCTTTATCAATCGATTTCTCAGATAGTTTCCAAACGATGCTAACGAGCGAGTTCAGGTATTAACACTGTATTTCTACATATAATTTTGGTTTGATGTTACCGTATGAACAACGACTCTTAACAGTGTGTTGGTTGTGTTCAAATATTTAGCGTAGGACAGGTTAAAAAAGGGCCTAAAGCTAAGCCTGAAGCAAAAAGTATCCAAAGTATCCTCCACCTTGTTCAAGGTATGTCGGTACATGCCATGTCCCTGTTAACTTGGTGGGGTCAATATTGAATGCAACAAATGCCAAGCTGTTTCATTACCAGAGCATGCCAATCGTAACAACGCTTCCAAGATAAGACACAAGAAGTCGTGAGTAGGTAAGATTAGGGAGGAATTCAGCCCAGGCGTGTCTTTACATCATCGAAAAAAAAAAGAGAGAGTTAGGCGGAAGAACAAGCCACAACCTTTTTCTGCAACTATCATTGCATCCTCTTGCTTCCTCATCCCCTCCCCCCGTCTCCACGGGCCCATTTTACCATTTATCATGCTCCTCCGTAGCAGAGCTCTCGTCCTAGTCGTTGGCCTATCAACCCTGATCCTCTTCTGCTATTGGGCTGGTAAGACCCCTGAATACGTTGGCCCCCGATATGGACACGGCCCCTACAACCACAACCAAAAGCACGGCTGGCCCGTAAAGGCTTCCTTGTGGAGGCAAGACCAGGATGATAACTACTACTGGAAGACTGTCAAGGTCAACTATCCTCACACAGCTTCACAACCACTGCCTACCTCCCCTCCCGTTACCTACCCCAAGGTCCAGGCTACGTTCCCCGACTTTAGCATAAGTGCTGCTGAGTTGCGACGCGAGCGTCAGCAGGCAGTCAAGGCCACATTTTCAAGATGTTGGAACTCTTACAAGAAGCATGCCTGGATGGCTGATGAACTTAGCCCCGTCTCGGCTGGCCAGGCCAACCCATTCGGTGGATGGGCTGCTACTCTCGTTGACTCTCTCGATACCCTCTGGATTATGGACATGCACGACGAGTTTAAGGAAGCCGTTGCTGCCGTGGATAGAATCGACTTCACTCAGACGGAACTCAAAGAAGTCAACATTTTTGAAACAAACATACGCTATCTTGGCGGCTTTCTTGCCGCCTTTGAGCTGAGTGAAGACATGCGTCTGCTCCGCAAGGCAGTCCAGGTCGGCGAGATGATATACAAGGCTTTCGACACACCAAACCACATGCCCATCACGCGTTGGAAGTTCCACGAAGCTGGCCAAGGCAACAATCAGGTCGCCGGCGGAGTTCTCGTTGCCGAGATTGGAAGCTTGTGTATGGAGCTCACTCGACTTTCACAACTTACGGGAGATCCCAAGTGGTTTGATGCTTCACAGACTATCATGGACCTACTAGCGGCACAGCAAGACTCGACCAAGGTCCCGGGCCAATGGCCTCTGACTGTTGATGCCAAGAGTGAGATCTTTAACCAAGGAACAATCTTCACTCTTGGTGCCATGGCTGATTCCGTCTACGAATATCTACCCAAGATGGCGGCGCTGATGGGTGGTCAGCTACCCGTCTACCAAACCATGTACGAAAAAGCTGTGGACTCGGCACTGGAACTCAACCTGTTTCGACCCATGACGCCCGAAAACAGAGACATTCTCGTTTCTGGACAAATACGTGCCAAGGACAAGGACGGAGGCACTTCTTTCGAGCTTGAGAGCCAAGGACAACATCTGGTGTGCTTTCTGGGGGGTATGCTGGCGTTGGGCGGACGGCTGTTCAATCGCCAGCAGGATGTGGACGCCGCAGCCAAGCTTGCAAAGGGTTGCATCTATACATACGAGGCCTTTCCTCATGGCATCATGCCCGAGACATTCATGATGGTCCCCTGTGATTCCAAGGACCAATGCGAATGGGACGAGAAACGATGGAGGGAGGAGGTTCTAAGGGAAGCCAAGATCAATGAGGGCGACGATGCGCAAATAGACGCCATCATAAAAGACGAGCGCCTCCCCAAGGGCTTCACTCGTATTCCGGACCGTCGATACATCCTCCGTCCCGAGGCTATTGAGAGCGTCTTCATGATGTACCGCGTCACAGGTGAAAATGAGTATACTGAACACGCGTGGACCATGTTTAAGGCGATCGAGGAAACGACGAAAACAGAGCTTGCGAATACGGCCGTATGGGATGTGACTGTCGCAGGAGAGAAGCCTCGCGCGGTAGACTCGATGGAATCGTTTTGGATGGGCGAGACGCTCAAGTACTTTTATCTCATCTTCAGCGATCCGGACCTCATCAACCTGGATGAGTATGTGTTTAATACCGAGGCGCATCCCCTGAGACGACTGGTCGCTTAAGTTTATTTGGAAGGAATGGATATGCCAAATTGTTTCATGGTGAAATGCATGAACTTGTAAGCGAAAGTCTGATATACATATACACTCCGTAGGCACCAAATGAAGAATGAAATAACAATCTTTTTACATTCTTGATCCTTCAGCTTTCGCCTACGCTTCTCAATTTTATTACAAATTTTAATAATAAAGTTAATATGTCTGATTATTCAAAAATCTGCTATACAGTTCCTCTCATTAAGACCAAGTTTCCTAATACATACAAACGTGACAGGGCAGCTGCCTGAACTCTATGTGGGTAACTGATAAAAGAAGCTTCTGTTGAGCCATACAGACAGCAGTAACTTCTTCCTCTTCCAACCCTCAATCAACTAGCAAGTCCATTCATCAAAGACCTTCACAACTACTTGTCGCCCAATCGATCCAGAAATAATAATACAGCCGTCGGAATTTAATAGTGAATTATTATAGCTCAAGGCCAAGAGATATATACTTACGCCCACTTCTTCTTCCTCCAGCACAATCTAAGAAACAATCTTGATCGACCATTGAGCTTGAATCAAGACAACAAACAATACCTAGATAGGCACTACTTAATTAAAGAAAACCTGGGCAAAGAAAGATTCAGGTCACATTCAACAGCCCTGTGAGCGGAGCCAGCCAGTGAAGCCCAGCCAGCCAGTGATAGTGGAGGTTGACCGGTCTGGAAAGTGCTGAGTCAGCACGCTCAGCAATTGATGAAACGGAAATCTACCAGAGGCTGCCAACTCTCCCCACTGCACATCACATCACAAAGCCGCACCCGCACCCGCACCGAACCGCATTCTGACCTGGCACAAGGGTTCTCCTTGCTTCGGTATTCTGAACCCGTGCAACGCGGTAGACAATTTACTGCAAACTTATTGCTTCTATTCTTTTTTTGTTTTGTTAAGTGAAGAATTGATTTGTTATTTTTGATCCCTTGGCCGATTTCTCGTCGCTTCCGCAGATAGACGCAGCGCAAGTACTAGATTACTTACATCTAGCTACCTTACGCCAAGTACGGTCATCAACCATAAAACTCACCTTTGCGATCTGAAGAAGCTTGAACTATTCTTCTGAAAGGAGTGCTCCCGTTCGCGCCGCATTGACTATTTGCATCTTGCCCCCATCGACTTCAAGGCCACCAGCGTGCCTAGAACAAGGACGATAACGGCAGTATTTGCTTGACGGCGCAAACCCATCAAAGCCAAGATACGAGACCAACATTTGATAACCTTCAAGTCGAATCGACCGATCGTTTCGGACAACAGACGTAATCATGTCGAACCAGGCAGTCGGCAGCGTCTATAAGGCCATCATTGACGAGGTTGTCAACAGCTCACGAGTTGATTTTGAAGAGAGCGGCGTTGAAGAGTCTGTGCTGGAGGAGTTGCGACAGGTAAGAGAGGCGCGGTTTCGTTATGTCGTTGTTTTGATTGATTCGCATTGCTTTGTTCTTGAACATTACCATTACCTGAGACGGGCGGGTGGAAGAAGAAGCCTTCGCCATCAACAAAGACGAGTGTCGATTTGGTTCTGCTCTGCTTTATTCCCATACCCTTTCGTTTGCCCATATGGATGGAAGTGTCCTCAAAAAGAAGAATCACTGCTTAGATGCAACCCGCCGTCCAAAAGAAAGCCAGAGGTTGAAGGTCGCATCGTGGTCAAAGCGGAGCGCAGTGCACCGAACAGAGGAAGTTGGGTGGGTTATGGGGGAGAGGAGGGGGCGACACAGCACTATTTGGGTCTTTTAAGTCCAAGGCCCCTGCTGCGACTGCCTTTCCGCCCTGTGCCTCGTTCCGCCGACACCCGTTGCTTTCTGATTGGACCTCCCCAGTCATTCCTCTCACTACTCCCCACTTGAATCCATCAAATGACCCATCCTATCATCAGCACAAATATCCGTATTACACTTGCACTGCCTCAAGCATACATTTACAGTCATCCATCTAGGCTGCAAGCTGCATTCCGCCTTGACAAGTTCCCTTCCCTTCAATCCTCTCTGCCATATTACACTGTATCTTGCTTGATCTGCGGAATGCTGTCTCACTGCATAACCCCACTGCTACACAAGTGAAATTGTGCAGTCAAGCGCCAAGATATCTCTGCTAGCTCCTCTATCACCACCGTGAATCTATGCTGTACTTTTGTATCATGGTGAAACCATAGATAACTGACATGTTTACAAAACCAGGGATGGCAGCGAAAGCTCACCCAACTTGATGTCGCCGGGTTTCCTTGGGATCCCAAGCCCGACCCCCCTCCAGCACAAGCACCACCTGCTATGGCAGCTGCTCAAACTCATACCCAGGCTCAGTTTTCGCCTCATCCTGGCAACCCGGCCGGCCTTTCTCTGCCAGGAATGGCCCAGCCCCAGGTCCAGAATGGAGTTAAGCCTGAAGGCAGTTATGTCAAGACTGAGTCTCCCGTACCCATCAAGCAAGAGCCTGGTTTACAGGGTAACCCGATGGCGTATCAACAGTACGCCAACCCCAACATAAACATGAACGACAAGAACAACGTGGCTGCCGCCCGCGCTGCCCAACAATTGCAGGCTCAATATGGCCAGCGTGCTGCAGGCTCGATCAACGCTTTGCATCAGCAACAACAACCACACCCCCAACAGGGCCAGCAGCAGCAGCAGCAGCAGCAACAACAGACACATCATCAACAGCAACAGCCTGGCCAACAGTCGAACCTGACCCAGCAACAACAACATCAACAGCAGATGTATCGTCAGCAGATGGCCGCAGCAACTGCCCACCAACAACAACAGCACCCCTCCAATGGTCAACCCCACATCCAGAATGGCCAGACCGACGGTGCTGGCGACGTGGACGACTACGAGGGTGTGCTGATGCAGCGGGCTGCTTCTGGTGATTTTCGCGAACTTGGACGGGTTGAGATCGACCGCATGCTGCACGAACAGATCCTTGCCAAGGCTAAGAGTATGGAGGGTGGCGGCCTGATGGTCCCCCTGAAGGAAGCCACCCGACACTCGTCAGCTTCAACATCACGCAAGGCCAAGGGAAAGCAACCCGCCGCGTTTGACGGAGGTGATGACGATGAAGAAGACGATGACGACGCTATTAACTCGGACCTTGATGATCCCGAGGATGACCGCGATGATGATGATGTTGACGACGAGGGACTGGGCAACATCATGCTGTGCATGTATGACAAGGTTCAACGTGTCAAGAACAAGTGGTATGTATCGACATGCTTTGCACCGGATTGAGTGCGAATAATCTATATTTGCTTACCAATACTGTTTATAGGAAGTGCACACTTAAAGACGGAGTCTTGACGGTCAACGGCAAGGAGTATGTTTTCCACAAGGCTACTGGTGAATATGAATGGTAGTGCGGACAAGACAATGCACGCATGGAATGCCACGGTTCTGGGCTCTGAGTTCAAGACTGACGTGGTATATCGAGCCAACACCAAAACAACAGCAACCGAGAAGGGGTCCAGTGAGTGAATTAAAGCAACTCAAGGTCGCGAAGATGGGCCACAGGTCATGTGTGCACACGTCGAGGCATTAGTAAAGTCCGTGAACGGCGCAATTTGCGGCCAACAGACTGGGACCATCATATCAGGATGTTTAATACCCGCCCACGTTACGGTTGGAGGCCTTGCCCCCGCTACCATGTTCATAGGTCAAGATAGTATGCCTAGGATAACATGGTCACTCTTAAAGAAATGATTTTATAACTGGTTCCCAATGTAGTGGCGTTGATTTGCTTCCGAGTGGCTGCTGTGTTCATTTAAAGTATTAAAAGAAAGCGAATAATGTGCATTCTGCCGAGCCAAAGCCGGCAACATACTCACTGGCAACCAACACAAGCTGCGGGTGACGTAGGAGGTCGAGCGACAGATTTCACTCGACTAGATGGCTATGGCCGCCTTCAAAACGACTCGTGTTTTGCTTTGTGCCTTGTCAAGTGGATCATGCTTAACCCGTGTAGAGTTAGGGCTATGCTGTTGGTCCGTAGCGGTGGGATTGAAGGACGAAGTGAAGTGAGTGAGAACGCGCGCAGACCCAAACTAGGGTCGGGCCCGGGGGCTGGGGCCAGAAGTGATATGCAGCCACCAATTATTGTGTCTTGTTGGCTCGACGAAATGAATGAGACCCTGTCAGATCAGCTGGACAACGCTTCTCGGCGCATCATTGCGTCGTTGGGGATCGAAGGATCTCGTCTTCGTCTGTGCTCTGCGTAAGTGAGCCTTGGCCAGCCGAACATCACATCCTACCCAGGGTTTTGCGGTAATGAGATTGCGGACCGCTGAGCATACCCGAACAGGTGGGCATATGCAAAACCGTTATCACCTTCATGTAGCAAGGTACCTAGGTAAGTTTGCTATGAACCGCAACAGCGTGCAGCACCGATCCTTCCTTATGCGGTCTTGGCATCGCAATTCCTGTGCTTGTGCTGAACCCCAAGTCCAAGGTTGTCTGTCTTGTCTTACCAAGTTCAATTTCACCGACCCCATATTTCGACCCGACAGTCTGGGACGGGTCGGGTCTTTAACCAAAGCGGCACGGACAACAGGGATTGTGGCTGGCCTCACTTCCCGGGGTACGTACATGTACTCTATTGTACACACACCGTTTCATAGTGGTGAGAAGGTCTCAGCCAGGGGCGGCAGACTCACCCCATCGTATATTGCATACTCGCCCTGCATGAATGAGAACGAAAATCGAATTTCGGCATCATTAGGCTGCTGATAAGATGCTTGCTGGCCCCGTCAGACGACAGCGTGTCAATAATCCACAGGATATTGGAGACCAAATATGTACAAGGTTTGTCAGACATACATACTACATGTACAGTACTCTCTTTATCAGCGACAATGGCCAGTATCTTGTACCGTTCGAGTATAAACAGCTTAGGCAACCAGCCGGAAATGTGTTCGTCGTAGTCATTCAAGACGAAAATTGCGCTTGAGCTCGGTAAATACCAGACGGCATCACGCCAATTTCACAGACTATCAGCTCTTGTGTTCAGAGGCAGCAATGACTCGTGGGCCCCATTGTCACAATTCTAGTATGTTGAACAGATGCTGCAGGCACTCTACTACACCTAGGTACAGCGCAGTACAGACTCTGGGTACGTAGTGCGATCCGAGGGAACGGTACGGCCTAGTCCTTAGTAGGCTCATAAGGTGCCAGCTAACTTTCGTCTCGTATCAATCACCTTACGCATAGATAAGCTCAGAGACTTCCACACACACAGTCACCCTTTCCCCTCCCTGTGTTTTCGGGGATAGAGGCGGTGAAGGGTAACACGTCCATTCCATGTTGAATGGGTAATTGAAGTTAATCATGGTGGTTGTCCCAATAATAGACGATATCTTGACTGTTCAGTGGTCTGACACGCTCGCTTGGTTGGCTATCTTGTGTTCTGTGGCTGGTGGTAGCTTGGGCCCAGTTGGTGCTTGTTGTATGGGCTGCAACTTCGTGCCTATGGAACGTATGGTAGAACTAAGCAGTGCAACCTGTGAATTGAAGTATAGCTAAGAAATTCGTGTAGAATATGCTGTAGTTGACTGGGTCCACGCTCGGTGATGGTGCTAAAAGGCTACTCTGCCCGACAATGGTCGACTTGTCCTTTTTTGTAACTCCGTTTCCGAAGGCTTGCACTGTAGAAACGCTAGTACGGGTAGCGTGGGTTCCTTCCCATCCATGGAGTTGTCACAAGGTGGATTCCATGAGTACCACTCAGTATGCTGTTGAGTAATTATGGAAGTGGGAATGTTGATTTGGGGCTATACCTCCGAGTATTTAGATTGGAAGTGTAAATTTGGGAACATGATATATGCTTGCCCTTTATTCAAACTATGCATAGACTCGAATGGCTGGTTGCACGACTTCAAAACTTGTCGGTGCAGGTTCAGTGGGATCTATGCAAAGAAAGAACATATCTGACCCAATCCTCTGGTAATCTTGGTTAGCGTGGGAGCAGGCAGGGTCAGGGATGCATGTAACTAACAGTCCTCCCTCATCTTGTCCTCTTTGAGAACTTGCATGATGTTACTCCGTACACCTTGCGCAAACCCATCGTGGGCTCTGATTGGTGCCATTTCATGGGAACTCGGGGGGACTGCCTGCCCGTCGGACTCAGAGCGGCCATGAGTCGAGTTCGGGGAACTGCCGTCCCTTACAGCACTTGGCCGAACTGCCTGGCACCAAAAGCAGCAAGTCGTAAGAGACATTGCAGGCGATGGAAGGTCCAGTAACCACTTGAGGGTTGCCTTTAATGCGTGCTAACTTTGAAAGAGGGCTGCTGTGAACAAGTTGAAGCGAGCATAATGCCCCATATTGGAGTCACCCAAGAAGAAAAGCAACAGATCTTCACCACGGAAACTGCTGACCCCAGAATCTATAGATCAGGGGCTGGTAGATTGAGTACGATGTAGGGATCTGTGTGCGTTGTTGTTGTTGTTGTTGTTGTTGTTGTTGTTGATCTGTCCATCTTCATGTTGGATACGTGACAAGGAGACATATTGCTTTTTCTTGGTCCCTAACATGGTCATACCGGTCTCAGGACGCTTCGTTGTGATCTCATTGCCTTTGTTGCCGGTTGAACGTCGATAACAATGAATGACTCGTTAAGTTAGACGACCAGCCAGTCGGACTAGAGCAGAGAATCACGCATGATAGCAGAATGCTGCACAACAATGCCAGATTAGCATGCAGGCCATGGGTGAGAAGTCCAAGATATGACGACCCCATGGGTCCAATTGCGAGAGTTTGGCTCATTGCGAATCCGATGCGCTGGTTAGAATGGGTAGTGCCCCAGTAGGGCTATAACTTAGATCGACTGCGAGTTACCGGGATGTGTACTAGAATAAGTTGATCAGGCGATGAATTATATCCCCCGGGCTGGTTTTTCCTTTTCTAATGTGCTTTAATCCTCAAGTAGATTATTGAAAAGAATCTAACCATAAAAAAATGAATGGGTTCAGGCTAGAGTTAGTGCCTCGGTTGCCGTACGATGTAGTAATAACCTCATCCGAAGGTTCACAAGTTGACAAATTTGGTCATGTTGGCGAACTTTCCGCAAGTTATCCGTCGTGTAACGGCTGAAAGCGAGTTTTCCAGTCTACTGACAAATGGCACGTATGTACATGCCTGATCAGGAATCCGATCTGACTGTGTTACTCCCAGGGTCCATCGGTGAGGAGAGAGGAACATGATAATGGAGAAGGAACACCCAAAAGGGACAAAAAGGGTACCGTAGCAGGATATGGAGCCAATAGCGCTAGAGCCCAACGCCAACAATTTTAGAGCGAGCCTTGGGCGACAGGGGTTGGGCGCTAGTTTGGCGAAGCATTCCTCTAGCGCAAGGAAGCCCTGAAATGGCGGTTTCATGCAACCAGAGAGTGTAACAAGCGGGTAATACAGTAGGTGGCGGCGACGGTGCATCTCAGCGAACAGTGAGCGAGCGGCGGGCACTAGGGAAGTCACCCAGGACATCGGGTTGACCTGGTCCATGTGCAATGACTGTAAAGGACTGTAGTGAGATAGGTGAAAAGATTTGGATAGCAAAGAAAGAATTGGACTGAGCAGTCTTTTTCGGTTCATTCTGAGTTGACGGCAGCATCACCTGATCACCAATGGTGGAAGGACCAAGTTTGGTCTGGTCCATGTTCCTTCCTTCCCACCGTTGCCATTGACATGAAAGGGTACCTCCATACCTACCTCTACTAAATCATTAGAACATCCCAATTACTGCGACATGAGACAAAAATGGCCTATCAAGTAACATATAATCCAAGACAAATTCCTGTCTAAATTGGAGGCCACCCAATAAGATTTGACACGGGACAGCGTCCGCGAGCAAATATGCTATTGACCAGTTACATGTTGTTTAATTGTCAATAAACCTTTGATTAGAAAAAAAGAATAGAGGAGCTAGTTCACATCGATTACTACATACTGACTGTCAAGTCATTTGGGCGAAACCAGAGTGGAACATGATGAGCCAGCTGTTTGATACCCATGAGAATTTTGGTCTCATTTCGCTGGGTTAGATCAGTCGATCCATCTAATTATCAGATCAACAGCTAACGAAACAGCAAGTCCCTCTTCCATGGCCCTTGTTCCCTGTTGGTTTGATGCTAAGATCACTAGAGACAATACCGCCATCGGCTAGGGGTATCGGTATCCTACCCCGAAACACAGCGCTTCTGACCAACAGCGGTACCCTGTCCTCCACAATGACAGCGATCAATGGTTGATGGCGGTGCGGTTAAAGTGATTGAACCAACGGGAACGAGGAAACCAAACGGTAAACGTCCATAGTACTGAGACTGGTGGATGGCTATCTCGGACTGACAAAAGGATAGATGAGCCATATATCGAGACTAGAATACAGACAAAAATCAAGGCTCTCAAGATAAGAGAATGTTCCAAGTACCTGGGAATTTGTTTCGCCCGACAAGTGAGATCCGGCACTGATCTATCATGCTAGTGGTGAAACAAGGTCACACCGCGGCCCAAAACACATACCGGGAGTTTGGAAAGACAAACGACCCCGAATATTAATGTGATTTTGAGTGGCACAAAACAACAAAACCTCGTTTCCACCATAGAAACCAACGTCACAGGCCAACTTTGGAGACCAGCGAAGGCAAAGCCACGAACATGGACTCTAGTCCTCTAGGCCGAGCTAGGCATACGGTGAAAGAGCTCGATGCGATGCAGGTGCTGCAGGACCTGTCAGCCAGACTGTGTATAGTCTGTTACTATAGAATATGATGTGGTAGGTATGGACGGGTAGGCAAGGCAAGTTAAGTTCCTTGCATCACAAATAGCGGACTAATATTAGTGGTTCTTACTCTTCATACACATATCGTGCCCCGCCAGTCCAGTCAAAGCTAATAGGTTCTGTACCCATTTCAGTCCAGCCATATCGCGGTTGGTTTACCCCCTGCCTCTGATGACTTGTGGTGTTGAGGCGGGTTGGCCCTACCATTCGGCCACACCCCTGGCTGAGTGTTAGGCATTCGTTTTTCTCCCTGGCTATTGTTGTTTGACAGATTGATTTCCCAGATGGGAATTCCAGTGGTAAGTCGACAAATGCATTGTCGGTTAGAATGGAAACTGGTGAGCGGGCGGCAGTGGATAGGTCAATTGCTTGTTCCGATACTTAGTACCTACCAAGGTCATCTTGTACGAAGTAGACCTACCTACGTAAGAGCCTGGCCACATTTTCTACTGCATAGCAATGGAGGGATGGATTGATTAGTTATTGTTGCTGTGTCCATCTATTCTAGTTAGTTCATGCCACGTCCTCTTTCAACTCGTCCGATGCTTCAGGGATGGTAACACAAACCTTCAACCACATTTGGAGGCGCATGATGATAATCACATAAATAAATAACAATCAAGACTCGACTCGACTCGACCAACAGCTCTTGAACTGAGCAAGGGGGTGTGATGTAGAAGAAAAAAAAAAGATGGAAGGATGGGTGGGAGGACCCTCAAGAGCCACACCCACAGGTCAGGTCCCACGTTCAACTGTTCCTTAATGCCTGTCCATCTCTGTAGAGCCTGTACCTGTACCTCGACCGCTGTGCCTGGGCTGGGTTTGTACCGGACTGTACCTGCCTTTCCCTTCCTTCCCTTGGTGACCGCATTGTAAGTCAATGACAGGAGTTCCCATAATGTTAGGTTAGCTGTACCTACCTCCTACCTTGCCTTTCTTTATCCATGTTCTACTCTGTCCTGCGCTCCAACTCCAGCTCTAGCTCCACACTTCGGCCAACAGCAATAAGTATCAACAACCTTCCTCTCATCTTCTCCAGCTTCCTTCTCGACCGCGACCCTTTTTTTTTTACTCTCTACTATTGGGATTATCTGCTTTCAGCTGCGAATTTTCATAATTTCACTCATACATCTCTGATCGACGGGATATCAATTGTCTAGTCGATCGCGTTCCTAAAGAAGCTTAAGAGAACAAAAACCCCTCCTACAATCCCCAAACTCAACTCAACCTAGCTGGGCTGGTTGGTCTTCGTCCACCAAAACCGCCTTACGTTCTGCTCCTTCAGCCAACGGAATTGTGAAGAGAGGGAAAACTCACACTGAAACCTGCCGAACAAGGCCTTTTCTTGGATTACAGATTTTTCTTACAGCTTTGAAACCGACCAACATCTAGAAATCTGCTGCCAACTTTCCGCCTGCGGTCAATTTGACGATTCGCATGAGCCAACCTGCTCAAACATCTGCTATTAATCGACGGCCCATTATCAACCATCCTTGGCGTTTCTTAGGTGGCTCCCGAATATATCTCCTACACGGAGACCAGCTCAACATAAGCTCAAGTTTGAAGCTGTGTTTATTTCAGTGAGTGTTCATGCTATCGACTGCGGACACGAGACGTTCTCGAGCTTCTTTTTTCTCTTTCTCCTTACAATCATGCTTTACCAATGGGCTGTTACTCGACTCAACTGTTGGTTATCAACACTCTGTATACCGTTCGCAAGGCCACCGCGGAACAGTGGCGTATGACTGCTGTGTTTCGCCAGCTGTTGATCTTGTTTGGTTTTCTTTGGGCCGTTTTAGGGTCCATGCCCGGGTGATCCTCAAGTCGTTGAAACAGCCCATTGAGGCCCCGTGGTGCCTACGAAACTGGCTGCCCTTTTCCTGAGAACACAAATAATACACGCTGCGGGTGTCCATCTCTTCATACGGTGTCTGGCGTTCAGCGTCCGTTCCTCATCTTGTCCTTCACCCGATAAATATTCACGTTGTATTTTTCTTATACATCCTCCATTTGGTGGATCTTAGCTTATTACATTCGTTCATCTACTAACACTTGCAGCCATATTCTCCACCATCACTAGAAACTTCGCTCATCCTGGATTCGAACACGCAGACCAGATTGCGTGCGTTATCTACCACAGCCAAGCCACCTTGTGCTGTTGTCTTGCCTTTTGGTTTTCGTGGTTTACTCTGACCCCAGACAAAACGTGGGACCTTTCACAATTTCCTCCATGGCAGTAATGCCTCCACAAAACAGGTACGCTAGATTTCACAATGTGCCTCTTGGAGATCAATCGAGCTCATTTTCTGGACTATAGTGTGAATGGGACAGAGAGGAGGTACCTCGAAGATGGTATATGGCAGCATGGCCGTTTCTACGGGTCCTGGAAACCCGGCAAATACTTGTTTCCCATTGATTCGGTGAGTTGCCAACCCTCAAGATGGTGAAATGCGGTATTGATAAGCGACCCTCAGGAAGAGTTGAATCGCCTTGATATTTTCCACAAGGTTTTTCTTCTCGCTCGAGATGATCAGCCGCTTCAGGTTACACTTAAACGGAAAGCGCCTAGGATCATGGATCTGGGTACCGGAACAGGCATATGGGCGATAAACGTGGCAGAAGAGTCTGTTTTCTCTATATACCGCTACTTGGGCCATCCGCTAACATGATCTAGATGTTTCCCAGATGCTCAGATAATGGCTGTTGATCTAAACCAGATTTTGCCAGCATTGTAAGGCTTCACAAGACGTTTTCTTCTGGAACTTCTACTGACGAGGACAGAATCCCTCCAGGAGTATTGCCAAAGCAATATGACATCGAGGACCCCTTATGGGGCTCACTATTCACAGATTGCGATTTTATACATATGCGGATGTTACTGGGAAGTATCCAAACAGACCTGTGGCCCCAAGTATACCGCAATGTATTCAAGTAAGGTCAATATTCATGGTCATGCTTTGTTGCTAACTGCTGATCAGGCACTTGACCCCAGGCGTTGGCTTCTTTGAGCACATTGAAGTTGATTGGACACCCCGGTGTGACGATGATGAGCGCCCTGAGAGTTCCGCATTTGAGAAGTGGGCAGAGCTTTTCTTTGACGGGATGGACCGATTCAACCGCGTTGCTAGAGTTGTGCCTCAAGAAACACGGCAGTTGCTTGAAGCTACAGGTTTCGCAGATGTGAAGCAGGAAGTGATCCGTGCCTACGTCTGCCCCTGGTCTTCCGACCGACAGGAGCGGGAGATTGCCAGGTGGTTTAATATCGGACTATCTCATAGCCTGGAAGCTATGAGCTTGAAACCACTGGTTGAGAAACTTGGCTGGAAGCCTGATGATGTTCGTGAGCTATGTACAACAGCAAAGCGTGAGACCTGTGTTTTACGGTTCCACACTTACTGCAATATGTAAGCCTTCAAATTCGCTCGCTATCGTACCCAGCTAACACATCTGCAGCTATGTCTGGACAGCGAGGAAGCCTGGCCAGCCACAGTAAAACCGTGGCTTTGGTTCAGAAGAGATTGCCAACACAGGGCACAAATACAGGGCATATCTCCATGAAGCTCATGAACACCGTATGAAATCCATCAAGGCAGGGGTTAGACATGGCCTTGTTCTTCAATTCTTTGCCAGGGTAGTTGTAAGCCCAAACCGGCCCCGGGCAAGATGGCGTGGTTACAGGCGCGGTGAGCAACCACACCCTGGCGATTCCTAAATGATACCACGATTTTCCAAGCATTTTACAGTGCTTCTCTCTTCTCATCCGTTGGCGGTCCCTCGAGTTTCAAGAGACGCTTCTCCTTAAAATGAGTGTGGCACTGACGGCTAGCGACAAGGATCCTAGTTGGTATCACCAACAGCGGGGTTTTGATCACATCAAC